TCTTTATATAAGGTATAATAAAGACCCATTTCAATTTTCCATATTAGTTTTAGAATTTCAATGGAAACAAAAGACAAACCCGAAGTGTGTACGTACACAGACAACGGGGATAAATTGCTGCCCACTGTGGATCGCAAAAGCTTTTCACAAGCACTACAGGCAAAATTAATACTTGTTCATTTTTTCATTAACCAGAAAGTATTATTCTGTTGATATGGTTGTTTAATACATTGCGTGGTATAGGTTACATAAGCTAATACTATTAAAGCTTTTCATCATAGCTAACACAAAAATGTAATATGTTAATATTGTAGTAGTTGTGTCTATTGTTATGATAATTATGCTATTGTTTTGTCAAAAGGGTTCCTTTTCTATAATGCTCTAGGGAGAATCCAAAGATCCATATGCTAATGCATGCTGATGATATGCAAATTAATGCATCTTGGCTCTAAAACAGTATATTTTATAAATAACCTTGCTATTTTACTGAAGTATGGTACATGTTGACATAGAAACAGGTGCAAAATAACACTCGTTTTGCTGACTATAAATAAATTTAAAAAATAGGTTAAAATTATGTCTTTTAGTTGTATTGATCTATTTATATACATATATGTGGTGTGTTAAAACCTTTATATTTGTCTTTAATATATGTGGACAGGTGACAGTTTTATGTATTCACTTGTTTTACCCAGAATGCATCACTTCATATACATTAATTTGTTTTGCATGCGTACCTACACTTTACCCCTTGGTTTCTGCTTTCTGTATTAACCTGTTGACCCCACCTACATTACGAGTTGATGGTGGCCTTTTCTATATCTGGATATCTTTTGTAAAGCGTTCTGTAAGAGTGATGATTCCTGTGATTGTTATTGTCTGGTTCTTTGATGTCTCCCAAATCTACTGACAAATGTTATATATGTTGGTATCTTATCGATATCCTCATAGATTCTTGAAAGTATTGAAACTGGAACTCGCATTTTATCCGAAATTAACAATTTTTAATTTTTCAGACATTTTTGAATCGGGGCCTAAATTCCATTGCCTGCCCAGTTTGACCCAGAATGTGACCTACTACATTTATTACCAAAAAAAAACGAACTAAATTACATCATACTATATTTTACACCAGGTATAATTCCATATTTTACTCGTCTAATCCAGATTAAATTGAGGATTATCACATTCCTCGGATTTTAAACACTGCACAGAAAAACCTGAACAGTATAGCTTTTTATTGTTCTGCCACGCTCTTAAAAATGGTTGTGACCTATATATTTTTAGTCTTAAAGGTGAGGGTTGATATCAGGCTCAATTGCTACCTGCCAATTATAGAATCCTGTTCACTGCAGCAACGTCAATTAATAGAATATGTATTTTCTAAATTTAACGGAAAACAAATAACTTCAAATTCAGATATTTTGGAATAAAAAAATTGTATCCTTTGCTGTAACAGATTATCTCATGACTAAGGGCTCAAAGCGAGTGCATATGAACCTTGCTTTGTGTTACTGATGCATAATCGGTGTAAACATGATTTAGAAGTTTGTTTATGATGACAAGGTCATGGTCACAAGGTCAAAGTTTGGCAGAAATATTTTTGTTTTTTGTTGCATCATAGAGATACTCTGGTTGTATGTAGAGAAAGACATGTAGCAATTGTAGAGAATAGAATCATAATTTATCTAAAGTATCAACAATCACATTGTGAGAATATATTTTATTTTAAATTAGCTACTTTTCTAATTAGCAGAATTACAACGTAGCTTATTTAGCTAATAAGACATGTTTTACAGTATTTGTTTACACGCAGTGAAGGTTCTGTCTGGTCTGGTCTGGTCTGGTCTGGTCTGGTCCTATTTTTCTAAATGCCACGCCTCTGGGAAATAAAAATATGATAAATAACATATTAATACCATTATAGTGTCATATGTATCATGTACAATACAGTTTACATTCTCGTTGCCATGGAGCTGTTTTCATGATATTATCTTGAAGATTGTGATCATAATGAATAAATTTAATTAATGTAATTTTCCAGTAGTTAATTACTATGATTATTAAAATACATATATGTAGATAGTAGATTATGTATTACACTTGCATATCACATTATCAGTCATACTGGTAATGTTGCATAATTCAAATGCAGTTGAGTTTTTTTTTTTGCATGATTGTTGTTAATGTGACCTTTAGTGACCTAATTTAGTAGAGGTCATAACTGCCCTTGTTTGTTGTTTGCATGTTCTATTTATTTGTACCATGTATGTTAATCAATTACTAGACATTCTGAATGTCAAGCTAGTATTGCCTGTAGAGATGACCCCTGTTTCTGAGGAATAGGATGATTTGATTTTATACCAATCAGTAAACAGTGCTAGTACATTGAACGATATGATTGGTTTCCATTTTGCCTGTCAATGTAGTTTGTATAAACAGATAATGTACACAATAGTTTTTATATGTTGAACCATAGATCTCTTTCTAAGGTCTATGATCGAACACAGAAGCAACTGATATGAACCAAGTGTTTGGATCTGTCTGCAAGTGATGTTGTTTTAGTGGCTAGTTTATTTCTTTTAGAGAACTGTTCAATGAAGCATTCTATGAAATGTTACGTCACATTAGCATCACAGCATGTCAATGGCGCGTTTGTTGTAAAGTTACACAATGCCACCATTGAAAGCAGAACTAATTTGAACACTCCAACTACTTCCAGATATTTCCATAATTGTAAAGAACAATGTTGGTATACTACATATACCCATTATGATTAATGTACCATATTGTCATTTCAATATTATAATTTTGTACACTGTAAATTAAAACTAAGCATTCTCATTGGTTGATAGGTACCAGATGCATTCCGGTTATCATAGTTCTTGAGAAATGGGCTTGCTGCATCTTACTCATTATTGCGCACCTAATGGATGAGAAGGCTAGATAATTGTTTGTTATAAATCACCACTGTCAGAATTAAACAAATTTACTTGCCAGTAGAGTTTAACATTAGCCTGTATCATATTTAGCATTTCAGAGGCCAGGCCAAATTATTTGTTTTTTTGAATAAACTACATAAAACTTCTACCATACATTTGGTTTGCATATCAGCTGATAGCTAAATAGTTCATTCAACCCTGTTGTCCCAGGAATAGAATATTGGTTTATGGCTCGTATGATGTGGATGTAAAAAGTCAGGAGAAAGCTCAGTGACATCTATGTGATATATTTTTCTGCGGAAGGCTAGGTGATTACAAAAATAGTGTGTTACAGGAAACCGGGACCTTTGACTATTATTCCCATAGGCCAACCATATCATCTGATTTCCTGATGTCTGTTATGTAAAAAGTTGGGGGGGGGGGGGTTAATCTAAAATTTGCCTTGAGATTATTTATGCTGCCCTTTGTAAATTGGAATATTATTCTTTCTATAAATAAGTATTGGAGAACGATAGCCATGCACTCTAACCTACGACATCATGTCCCTCTGTGATTGTATAAATAACTTGTGCATATTTGTATTATTTACTCTTTGTATGGTCATTCACGTCATTTCTAACATATTTACATTAAATGAAAGCCATATGAGATGCTGTTCAGGGACATGAATGAATGAATGAATACCCCGGGTGGCCCTTACTTTGCTATCTTCATGTTATGTAAGGAAAGTATATCTCCATATATGTATTGTTCTGTGTCTGTAGGAAGTTGCAGTTTATCCGATGATTAACCTTTCATCATTCAAAAGGGCAGTTTTTGACCTGTATACATGTCACCAGTGTTTGTGCTGGCACTGAAAAGCAAGTTTCAGTCTCGGAGATGAACAATATTAGAAACCTAACTAAAACCATATTAGAAACCTAACCATATTAGAAATATTTACAATCGCAATACTTTCAAGCAGACATTAAAAGCACATTTAGTAGTTAGTTTTCTATTTACATACCTGTGGTGAAAAACAACTATCATCTGGAACTTTATTGTCAACCGAGTTTATTGCAATTATATTTATTGTTATTTCTATTAGATTGTATGTAATTTTATTTCTTGACAAAACACCAGCCAAAATGATTATTTAGCTCGATCAGTATTCAGGAGCAAACTAAACTAGCTTCACTTCAAGCTGTTTTCTGCTGCCCAACCATTACTGATCATCTTATATAGTTATATACGTAAATTTAATGTAGATTTCCTCATGATTTAATGTGAATTTCGTTTTGATATAATAGTTATGTATCCTCTAGCATAATGGTGAATTAAAAACAAAAATTATAGTTAAAAAAAACCCCACATTGATTCTTGCATGTATCTCTATCTTTAATTAGGACCCAGTCCACTTTCTAAATTAGGGTTCTCACAAATTTTGTTTGTCCTGGAAGCTGACTTTAGACTTAACGTTAATGTATACATGTATCTTTACATTATAGATTCATTATTGCCCCTTTACTTGAATTTTGTCATTTTTGGCATGATAGTTGTGCCAGTGTTCCATGGAATATAGCAGAACATATTGGCTAATATTGTTTCTTTTGTTTTCAATGTTGTCATAAATAAGCTCTCCTGTTTATCTTACATTATTGAAATTGGGGAGGGGGCTGCTCTATAATGCCCTGGGGAGAGAGACCCTATGTGCATTATTTTCTCCATATTAAAAAAAACAAAAACTGATCAATACTCCATTTAGGTATCACCAGCGTTTTGCTTGTCTGTAGGTAATTACATTGTTTGTACATTTGATTCAAACTTAACTAAGAAATCATGGAGAATTGCAGTTGTGAAACTTGTGCATCTTTGGGATTTTATGGTGTTTGTGACCAAATGTCACTTATTCTTCCATGCCTAATATAAGATTTCAAGTGAAATTTGAGTTATACTTTTCTTCATGCAAAGAAGTCTGTCTGAAGTTGAAACAGTATTATACATTTTCGTCAAACTCTATACATAAACCTGTATAATATGCTTGCTAATTTCATTTTTTATTTGTGTTCTCTTTCACAGGTGTGTTCTCCGATTTCCTAGTACCAATATAAAGATAATGTTTCAGGCCCTAATAGATGAACATAATGCGCCCCAAAATTCTGGGATACCCAGCCCGCCAAAGAAGAAACAGATGACTGAGTTGAGAATAAACATTCCAGATTCTAATGCAGATTTTGGTAATTCGTTTCCTTCACCAACTGGGACAATCAGGTGAGTGTACTCTACCAGTCTCTGGTAGTGTCGTGACTGAATCAATGGGAAGGACAAATTCACATGCCGAGATTCATTCATTCTCTGGCTAAATGCACTATATGTCAGCACTTGAATTTGCAATTCTCTCACGCACAACAAAAATCAATAGAGACAACGGTGATATTTAATGTCAGTAACTGTTCCATGACATAAAAATATTTCTTTTTTTTTCTGTCATGGTGTATGATCCCATGAAATGTTTTGTCTAAACGGTCAATGAAGAAATGTTTGAAAGAAATTTATGAAAAATGTTATGCAAAAATACTTGTGACCCTTTTGCATCAAATCAATTAGTCAGTCAGATGGCCACAGCGTGTCATTGTTTACAAACAAGTGTCTACACATGAGCCTTTGCGTTTTTAGTGTGTGTTGTTATCGTTGCTTGGGACTCGATTCCCGCGCGTGCATTTGGAGAAAAAAAAATATTGTCCAAACTGAGCTTGTTTTTTGTAACCGTTAAGTAGGATTGCACTTCACCTATACTCAGTGAACAGCATATGTTTGGATTCTCACTGTCATTATCTGGACAAGTGGCAATTGTGGATGATTAGAACTCTGGAATAAAAAAAAAATATTGCATACATGTAACTACACACTGAAAATATAGCAGCCATGACTTCATTATTAAAACCAGTTTCTGGTATCAAAGCACATAGAGAATTTCGGTACAAATTCTTGGAAATGGTAAATAGAAAAATAGACACTTCCATGATTCAAGATTTCTTCGTCTGTATATGAGTGAAGACAAAAATTCTGAATCACATGTTTATAATCAACAATAATGGACGACTGCGCAATAATTGATTACCGTTAAAATCCTATTATAAACCGCGGTTTATATTACAATGTATCAAATAAAAAATTGGGATCAACAGCTCAAGTTCGGGGTGCGGTTTATATTAGGTACATATTGCAATCACTAAATGGGCGTGGTCATTTTTTCCCCACATCACTTGCACAAAACAAACAATACACCAGACAATCTTTTGAATATAAGCTAACTCCAATTTAGATGTCAGGGAAGAGTGATAAGCGTCACGTCACAAAAAACTGTTCACATGAAAAAAAAAATAGCAGAGCAACCGCTTCGCTGCGATCTATTGAAAGTAAGCCTCAAAAACCTGTTGGATTCGTATATTTATTGTAATATGCATTTATTTTTTTAATTTTCTTCGTAATGGAAAGTATATTCTGACAGGAGTTTCAAATAAAAACAAACATTAATGCATTGCTTAGTAGAAAATGATTATGGTACGGCACTAAAAAAGTACGGTACCGCGTGGGTACGGCAACTCAATCCGGCCATGCTTCGGCTCACAAGTGAATAACTTACTTGTTTTCGAACTGTTGAAATTGTTGATTATTACTCAGTAGTTATTATAAAATAACGCACGAAAAATAAATTTGTTGAATTGTTATCAAATGCAAGTAAAATTCAACTTAGTTTCATCGTAAGCAAATTATTTCGGACACGTGTAAACGATCGATGCGACACGACTTCCGCTATGTAGTTTGAATGCACACGAGACATTACTTGACCGGGTAGGTCAAGTCACTAATTAACCAATCAAAATCCTTAATGGTGCCCACGTGTTCAAATTATCTTAGTTCATTTAAATATGTTAATGACAGGTCACCGACTGCACGGCGATTTACTGATAATGTAGTGCAATCTTTTGGCTTTGATTGCCATGGGAAAACGACATGACTTTTTTTTAAATCAAGAAATTAGTTGTTTTCGAAAGATAAACTGAGCATTGAAAAAGAATTTAACAGTTTTTCGGTGAGAACAGCTCATTGTCGAAAACTTGCGACACACGAACGTATTCATAAGGAGTATTGACAAAAGTTGTCACAAGACAAAAGCAGTTTCACTGCGTGTTTGACATCCTAACACTACTGAACAATAAAAAGGTGTGAATATTTTTAGGCACATTGTCGAAACAAATGAATAAGTTTAGGAACAATGTACCAGCTGGTTGAAACAAAGTCGGTCACGATCTTGTTGAATTGGGGGTGCGGTTAGTAATAGGTACTTTTCATGTTTTCAATTTTTGTTGAGAACTCTTTAACACTGAAGCTGAAATCAGGGGTGCGGTTACTATTAGGTATGCGGTTTATAATAGGATTTTAACGGTACTGCATGTGCAGTGAAATAATTCCAAACACTTTAAAAACTAATTTTGTATTTATCACCAAAGAGAGACTTTTTCTTTCCCTAATAAAACATGAAGGTTCCTATACTAATATAAAGTTGATTCAGAAAACAATACCATATTTGCTTTCTTAGAGTGTGTGTACTTATGTAAATGACAACGGTGAGTCAAACTAACACGTTAGCGTACAATAAATGCCATTTTTGGTTTATGTGCACTTTTGGAGATGAGCTTCCGTGATAACAAATTTGGGTTGTCCGGAATGTCTGAATCTCTTATTGATATTCCATCACAATGGTGCTTGCATGCTTCAACCAAAGGTTTGCTGTGAATAATATAGAAGATGGTCCCATGATTTGAAAAACCTCTCTTGCGATATTGTAATTTGTCCGTATTTACAACCGCATTAGTAAATGAACCATGCATCAGTCTGTGTTTATTCTTAGAGTAGGTATTGCATCTGTGTCTGCCTTTTGTAAATGATTTTGTATATTTGGGACAGAGTTGCTATGTTCAGTCCGTTTAGTATATTTTGATTTATTGAATAACATTTTTGGAGTCATGTCTATGATATACAAATGATGAATTAACCTTTAACATGACGCCTTAGAGGTCACACATCCTGGTACTTTTTGTAACAGATGAAATAACTACCTATGAGATTCTCTCAATTATTAAGGAGTCACTGAAGTTGTAAAACCAATAAAATCCTGATAAATACCAGGGTGTGTGACCATTAGGGATCATACACCAGAAAGCCTGCACATCGTTTTAATTAATTGGCTCAACGCATGAAGTTCTTGTTGAGTGAGAGAATCAAAAGACTTGTATTTTCTTCTAAAGTAGTGTTCCATACTCGTAGCTTCCACTATTTGAATATCATGGTTACATAGGTCAGGGAAATAGTGGATGGGATGACGAGGTGGATGGAACACTATTTGATAGAATAAAAACCCAGTCTTGTGCCTCGCTTTATTTGAACAAGATAACTTCTGCCATTTTTGTCTAAGGTCTTGATTTGAAAACAACAATTACGATATATTGTTAGCTCCTCTGTTGAATCAGTCGAGCAGAGCTTATCATATTAGTAATTGTCCATCTTGTTTCTGCGTCTGCAGTAACTTTTTACTTTTTAAACTTCTTGAAAACTACAAGTCTGCTTGCTTTGATATTATGCATATACCCGGTAGGTATCTCAGGTTGGCTGATCTCAGATTTGTTCGTTTTGTGATACATCTCTAATTGAAATATGCATTGCTAACAGGGGAGTTATCTCAGCTGTGGGCCTGCTTGTTTTCAAACCTACTGGTACTGGCCTCCTTATCTCTGGACTTGGTGTCTGTGACCTGTGCATAATTTTGTCTCCACGACTTAAACTGTTAGCTACACCGTAGAATAGTGAAATTTCAGAGCAGCTGAATCATTGTGCAAAATAATATGACATGGATTACAGCATTCATCTTTAATTTTCTACATGTGATTTGGTTTTTAATAACACCAGCATGATCTTCATTTTGTTTATTGGCATGATAATTTATTGGCATAACATGGTCTGGATATGATATTTTCTTTTTAATGTACATATTGTGTACCTTGGGACAATATTCTATAACAAGAACGTAGTCAATTACCATGTCCATTCATGAATACATGATTCAACCTGCTACTACATTTCTGTTAATAATTTATTTATCAGCTCCCAGTTGAATATAATAACATGACTTAGATTAATATAAAATGTTTTGATTTCCCTCCAAATGACTATGAAATAAGAAGCTACTTAAAATACAATAATATTTTACTGGGTTTTAATTTTGTTATCTTTGCTGATAATGAAATTGGTGTGAACATGTGACATTATGACACATTTTATTGTTTTCAAGGGGAAAAGTTGTAAAATTAGAACCAGTGAAATACTGCTTATTTTACGTACTGAGGCAAAAAACTACCACCAAAGGCAGGTATACCAAGAGATTTTGCACAACATACACACACAAGCGTGAGTGGTAAAATAAAAATAGACCCTGTAACAAGCATACAGCGATTCTAGAAACATTGAGTGATGGAGCAAATTTGATCCAGTATTTTGACGTCGCAAGATTTATTCGAGTAGTTCTTGTTAGCAGCAATATTGATAGATGTGAAATCATCTCAATCGATATAATTAAAAACAAAAAATATAGTCCCAAATTAGTGTTGTACGTCCAATTGTGTTTTGAGGATCAACTACCGGTATACTTTTGGGTTCACAAGCAATTCAGTGCAGAAGGCAATGATTTTTTTGGCATCGCTTGCATAATTGTGAAAAGATAATAATCATTTTATGCTTCTCTTTTGAACTTTAAATTTTCAAGGGACGCAATATATCTTCATTGTTTTATGTTGACAGCAGGATTTACCTCTCTAATGTGTTATTCACATTCAGTGCCTGTTAATATATATGAAAAAACTTGGTATACGATGTATTTACCACAGCTTGCATAATTAAAAACTCAACCAATCAGAGTGATGTATTCAGGCAATTGAAATTCTGGTCTAATATAATGTTCATGTCTCCTAATCAAAGTTGATCAAGTTTTGCTCACTATCTTCCGGATATATATCAGTCTTGTTTCTGCTTTTGCAAGGAAATAAACCACTTTAATATCACGATTATAGAGGTGGGTGAGTGAAATAAGAAATAAAGAATTAAAAAAAATGTACAGGATGTGGACGAAGAGAAACAAAACTTGTAAACTTTGTCTGAAGTGGACATTAAACTCACAACTGTCCTATATAATGAGTATTTTAGGTAATGTTTTC